CTACGAAGCTTTTAGGTCGGGTCAGTCGCGCGTTTACACCGAGAAAGTAGACGACCTATTTTAGGTGAGGGCGCTAAAAAATCCGGCCTGAACTACAACAGGTCGGGTCAGGTATAGTAGGTTTACAGCGTGCGGCCTAAATAATGTGACCTAAATTAGGTCGAATTTGGGGTATAGACCGCGGACTAAACGTACGGTGTAAACGTAACCACTGAGCGCGGTGAGCGGTCGTGCTTCTGGATGTACCTGTTGGCAGTGATACAGGTCGAGCCGCGTCTCTGGCGCATGCGCGTCGAACGCAGCGTCAGTATCGTACTCGTTACCAGTAAACGGGAGTTCATTAGTCGCCTAAAATTTGTTATAATTTTTAAGAATTTTTAACAAATTTTACGTAGGCGACTAATGAATTCCCGTTTACTGGTAACGAGTACGATACTGACATTCGACGCGCATGCGCCAGAAACGCGACTCAACCTGCATCACTGCCTGTTGGTTAGTATGACAACTTCCGCCGCGCGGCAAGCATTATCGTGTTCTGTGCGCATGAGCACCAACGAGATACTATTTGTAAGGCGGGGAAAGGGAACTAGGTTAGAACCGCCTTGGGACAACTATGGCCGGTATTCAGATCTTATTTTAAGACCGTCTTAAGTAATAGCTGCGTTCAGCAGACTCAACAGTTTTGCAACCGTTTTATGATTGTCTGCTGAGATAGGTTCTTTTTCCGCACCGTGTAATTTCACCCTAAGGGTGAAATCACACGGTGCGGAATAGAGAATACAATCATTGGCTGCGTTCAGCAGACTCAACAGTTTTGCAACCGTTTTATGATTATCTGCTGAGATAGGACCATTCTTCTAGATCTAAAAGTATGATCCAATTAGCGCGAAGGAAACTTCCAACAGTTGCAAAACAAACGTTCTGCTGAACGCAGCCATCAAATACGAGAGGCAACACGTATATCAAGAGGCACTTTATTCCTGCTCGGTTACACGCGGGACCTCACCGGTTACATGCCGTTCGCTCCCACGCACGCACCGAAAGTCTACCGGTCCGCGCACCGTTCGTCCAATCCCGAGCTCGCTACCTCGAAGCAGCGGTTTTCCGCCAATCGCGACGCAGAAGGACTGCGCGCGCATCGAGAGCGATGGTCAGAACTAAAAGATTACGCTACATAGGCCGTTTCTTACATGTTAAAGACCGTCAACCCTCAGCAAATTTTCAGCGGTATAAGGCTGCGTTCGGAAACATCACCTGAGTGCCCTCGTGTATCATTTTATCTTTATTTAACTTTGGGTGAACAACAAGGATAAAACAATACACGGCGGCACTCGGGTGATGTTTCCGAACGCAACTTAAAAAGGGCCCCATGGGCCCGGAGAAGAACGCCCTAATTGAAGAACGCTAACATTATCGACAATTGATATAAATTGATATAAACTACTATCAACATAAATATTTAGCTAATACATTATTAAATTTATGATTTTTTATAAATGCTCCATAAATAAATATGCATACTTGTAAAGCTATAATATCCTATATATTGTTGAAAAATTACAATTTTTTTTCTGCAATTATCATCTCTGTTGATAATCAAATTTTGATGATACTGAAATCACAATTTTAAAGAAAAATTGAGTATTTTTGAGTATTTTAATGTATATACATCGATAAACACGTCTACTAAACTAATAAATCATAAAAAATTAGTACAATATTATCAGTTTTTTTACTCTTATAGCGAATTCGATTGGACGCACTCAGTGCGCACTGGTGCACATTAAAGCCGTTGTACACGAAATAACGTAAAGATATATTTATAAATAAACATAGAGATCGATTAAATCGTGAAATACTTAATACATTTTATTGTACTATTAGGTAAAATATGTATTTCATAATTCGAAATATTTGCATTTCATTTTTATATTTCAATTAAACTAGTGTACAACGGCTTTAATATGCACCAGTGCGCACTAGTTCTTCCAATCGAATTCGCCATAATTCACTTCAATGGCTGCGTTCAGCAGAACGTTTGTTTTGCAACTGTTGTAAGTTTCCTTCGCGCTAATTGGATCATACTTTTAGATCTAGAAGAATGGTCCTATCTCAGCAGACAATCATAAAACGGTTGCAAAACTGTTGAGTCTGCTGAACGCAGCCAATATTAATATGGACGCGAACTCCCGTAAGGATGTCGGTCTTTAATAGTATCTCATCGGTGGCAGGAGCCATATAGGCCTATGCAGATCTGTCGATGTGTGTGCTTGCGTAGTATGTATGTACATACATATGTACAACTACACACTGCTACACAATCAAACATATATATGACACGTGTCCATATGATAAATCTTATGAAATTGTACGAAATGTGCGTGTCATTACACATACGCCTCTGTAAAACTGATTTTGTCGATTGAATCTCTCGGAGATTGCAGAAAAGACTCGTAATGCAATGAATAAAATATATTTGTTACGATGATTATATTGTTTCGGCTACATACGTATAATCATCGCGATACAACAACGCAAGCGAACAGTCTGATGATCACGTAGTTTTTTTACAAGACGATCTTGTCCGCGGAGCGAAACCTTGTACTCTACTGTTTTGTACAGTTTTGCACCAAGAATAAAGAGGATGCAAATGTACAGATTCGCGGATTTAAGAATGTGATCTTTGTTGTGTTTTGGGGGAGATTTATGGCAATCATGTTAACCATAACAATCTGCAATAATTACGAACCATCTTGCTCCAAAGCTACGTAAACTAATGCGTTGTAATGTAACTGCATGTATTGTTACATGGAGCAAAACTTATGCCGAGAGGAATTCATCCGTATTTGTATATCATATAGTCAATGCTACATGAAGATTCTTTACGATGCAAAAGTGGATGTTATGGCTTGTTATTTTGACGATGCTTGCATTCGTCACAGGACAGCAAGTGGTAGATGTATGTAATATAACTTTTTTTGTTAAAAGAGTTTCTTTAGAGAACTATTTCTTCGTGGTAAACAAATAAAGGAAACAAAAAAGAAAAGAGACAAATATAATCTTTTTAGAGTTAAACTTTTACCTTATATCAAAAAACATATTACATATATGTATTGTGCTTTTAAATTATGGGAGCTGTCATACTGTCATTCTTACGATTAAAATTGAATTGACTTAAACAATATTTATATTAGAATTTTATTATTATATTTATTATCTTTTGTTAGTGTATATTAAATATATTAATTCTATTATTTTTGGCTCGTAGGCCTTCTTAACATATTTCTTTTAATTTTATATTAGAATTTTAACACCGAACTGGTAGCAGAACAAGATGACACTCTCCTTTTATTTTCTACACTTGGTGGATTGCTTGTGGGTGTTGAGCAGAGGTCTGGAAAAATACGATGGCAACAAGATGATGGTAACAATTAGTTATATGCTAGATTACATTAGGAAATTGAATTTTATTGTTTTGTTCATCATATTTATGTATTGGTATGTTTTAGAACCTGTGGTCAAAGTACCCATCAATTTATCGGCAAGTAAAATGTATGTATTAAGTTATATTGTACATTGATGTATTTGTAATAAATGATTATCGATAAGAAATATATAAAATTTTGATTATTAGTGATGTTTCATTTGTTAAATAATAAAATAAAGTGAAATATTTTATATTTTTATTAAAATGTTTGTGATTTCCAGGCCTATATTTCTACCGGATCCCAGAGATGGTTCACTTTATCTCTTTGGCAGAGAATCAGAAGCATTGAAAAAGTTGCCATTTACCATTCCTCAACTAGTCGCCAGTAGTCCATGCAGAAGCAGTGATGGTATTTTATATACTGGCAGAAAAATTGACACATGGTTTAGTATTGATCCAATGACTGGTGAAAAGGAGCAGCTTTTAAGTTTTCATAAAGTGAAAGATACATGTCCTTTGGAAATGCAGAATACTATTTTTGTTGGTCGCACGGAATATAATATTATCATGGTGGATAGCAAGCATAAAGACAGAAAATGGAACGTAACATTCTATGATTATTCCGCTATGCAAATGGGACCCGATGTGATAGAAAATTACGGTAAGCTCTTTATTTTTATAAGACACAACAATACATTTTAGAGATCACTGGATTGTTAGCTATAAAATATTTAATATATATTATATGTATATTATACTGTGTTACACATGTATTATGGTTGTGTTACAAATTTACTGCCATATATAATATTGAAAATGCTATAGTTTACGTTATGTGCACTATAGATTTTCAGTACTGGCAGTCAATTTTGGAACACAGCCTTTAATGTATGATATGTGCGTTATATACATGTTTATACATTATGGTACATTGTGTGCGTGCGTATATATACACTTAGCATGTACACGCGTGTGCGTGAGTGTACTGAGGAAATTTGATTTGATTTCAGATTTAGTGCATTTTACCACAAGTTCTACAGGTCGTGTAGTGACCTTGGACAGTTTAGGTAAGATTCTTTGGAAATTGGACTTGAAAAGTCCGGTGATAGCCATGTATACTGTAACCAAAGATGGATTATTGACAATTCCTTTCACAAGTATTGCCGATTCGTTGTTGGAAAAATTTGCGACAAAGCCGACTGACGTTCAATTGTTGTAAGTTAGATCAATGTTTAAAAAGAAAATAATTTCACGAAAGACAGTTTGGCATAGAATATATGTTTGCAAATTTCATATATAATATGTATAATAGTTAACGATTAAAGTATCTCTCTCTCTCTCTCTCTCTCTCTCTCTCTCTCTCTCTCTCTCTCTCTTTTCTTCTTTAGCCCAACTTTGTATGTTGGACAGCATCGATATGGTCTCTATGCGTTACCATCGCTTGCTGATTTGGACACAACAATTATATCGAATAATGTAGGACACTTATTGCTGGAGGGACCATTGGTAATATCGCATCTTCACGCAGATAATAAAGTACCATTGCCAGGAGATTATGTTTTAATTTCTAATATTGACATAGCCGATGATGGTTATCAAAGCGTTAAACGTACTGAAAATGTCATTACATTAGGTAATGTACACAATTACAATTACATTATATGTATATCATACATATATTGTTGTATATTTTATATCTTTCATAATGTTTGTGATTTACGTAGGTCATTACAAAGTACCCGCGGAATACAAACCACAAAATCAGCTCCTCCAAATAACTGGACGATCTGATCCAATAATTTTGGAGACTTCCACGTTGAATATCACTGGAACTAAGTTATCTGTCGCCGTGCAATCGGATACGTCCAACGATACTGTACAGTCAGAAAATAGTCAGAATTGGCAGAGAATTATATCAAAAATGTACAGCACGACCAAATTTTGGCTCATTCAACAGGAAAACATAGAAGTGAAACTAATCATAAGTGTAATTATATTGACAATTAGCATAATAACTTATATTGTAGTTTGGTTTATATATAAGCAACGTAAGAAACAGCAATTGTCGCAGGTAAGACACTGTATTATAAGATTGGAAAATAACAATGGAATGCAATATATCAGTATTATTAAATTTGAATTAAATTAATGAACTTAAATTAATTGTCAAGTGTTCACACGAAAGCAGTCGTACGTATTCTGGTAAATCAGGCAATTTGGTTGTTATGCCGGAAGAGATTGGCGATGGCTTGGTTAAAGTGGGAAAAATTACATTCGACACGGAACAAGTCCTTGGCAAAGGATGCGAAGGAACATTTGTGTATAAGTATGTAATATTTCTAATTCATAGTGTTTATGGAGAGATTGCTGTATATTTTTTTATCGATAGATATATTTATTTATAAATATTAATCTTAAATTTTAGTTTTGTCTATCAAAAATACACTTTATATATTCTTATTTCTTTGTTTAGAGGTGAATTTGATGGTCGTGCTGTAGCTGTGAAGCGCCTGTTACCAGATTGCTTTACATTTGCGGATCGAGAAGTAGCGCTTTTAAGAGAATCGGACGCTCATGCAAATGTAGTTAGATACTTTTGCACTGAACAAGATCGTATGTTCAGATACATCGCCTTGGAGCTAGCAGAAGCAACTTTGCAGGATTATGTGGCGGGTAAATACAGGGAAAAGATATCTGTGAAAAATATTTTGCATCAGGCCACATCTGGCTTGGCACATCTTCATTTCTTGGATATTGGTAAGTTTAACTAATTTTATCAACGATAAACTTTAACTAATTTTATCAACGATAAACTTTAACTAATTTTATCAACGATAAACTTTATTTTCAACTGTTTATAATTTGAAAACGATGGATTTCTGAATGCGGCTTTTTTTAGCTGATTCCAAATTGACGAATTTATTTACAAAAAATAATACAATGGCCGGTATTTATGTCGGTTCTTATATCAAGGCCCATTTTAACTACATGCCTTGTTTATGCTTCGGTCTTAGCCTTAAAATCCTGAAATTCAGCCAATGGAATACAGGTTTCAGTTAAGACCAAGTAGGACCAATTAAGACTGGCAGCCCTATTGGCTGAATTTTAGGATTTTAGGGTTAAGACCGAAGTATAAACCAAGCATTCATTCTAAGATGACATAAATCAGTCAGAACTGATTGGTATTCATGGTCGGTTCTTATTTCAAGATCGTCTCAGGTAATGTCTTAAGGTGCTAACACTCTGCTTTGGAGTCGGTATTTATAGTCGCGTGATTCTTATATTTAAGATTGTCTTAAGTACAGTCTTAAGATGTCACAAACAAATCAGAATGTCGCACGCGTATTAGTGTCTTATTACTTAAAATGGTCTTGAAATAAGAACGGACTATTTCCGTTCCTGCAGGCCATATACCGGTTTGGGATTGGCTTGTAATATCCTAAAACTGTACTCAAGACGGTTTTAAATATAAGATCCGACTGTGAATACCGGTTATAGAGCTGTATTAGTAGTCTTGAGACATTACTTAAAACAATTTTAAGATAAGAACTATGAATACCGGCCGATAACTTTAAAATATCTTGTATAATAAATTCATCTTTAATTTTGTTTCATTTTTTTTGTTGGAAAGAGTTAATTTGTTTTAAAAATTTTTGCATATGTAGTTCATCGAGACATTAAACCTCACAATGTCTTGCTCTCTGTCCCTGGACCTCGTGGAGAGGTACGCGCTATGATATCAGATTTTGGATTGTGTAAAAAACTCCAGCTCGGTCGCGTATCATTTTCACGGAGATCCGGAATCACTGGAACCGATGGCTGGATTGCACCAGAGATGCTAAATGGAGAAAGGACGACATGTGCGGTCGACATTTTCTCGCTTGGTTGCGTTTTTTATTATGTTCTCTCTGGTGGTAAGCATCCTTTTGGTGATCCATTACGAAGGCAAGCTAATATCCTCTGTAAGTAACAATTGAAGTAAAATTTCCAATTGCATGTACTTTTCTTTGGTTCATTTATGTTATTTCTTATGTTATTTCTTACATAGTAACCGTTCGATATATTCTATAAATCAAGCCGAGAGAATGCAATAACAAATATACAGAAATGATAATAATTCTACAGATTATTGTTATAATTGAATATACATTTAGTCATTTGTTCAATTATATCATCGTTGTGAAACTACTGCATGAAATGTCAATTATATTATAATAATTGTTTGTTATAAGTATATTTATTGTATTTGTTTCTGTTATTTATAGGTGGTGAGAGCAATCTAACAGCGCTCCAGGAAGTGTCTTCGAGTGACAGAGAATTAGCTTTGTTGCTTATCAAGGCAATGATATGCAATAATCCTGCTGGTAGACCGCCAGCTTCAGCAATTTGTAATTATCCAATTTTCTGGAATTTAGCAGAGATTCTGGGTTTCTTTCAGGTACAAAATACAATTTACAATAGCATTTTTCAAATCTGTTTCTTATTTGCGCTTTTGAGAGAAAAAAGAAAGAACATACAGTTTAAAATTCATTTTCGAGTTATATCTTATAAAAAATTTAAGATTCTCCTGATAACTACTTTAGATTATGATAGACGAGAAATCATGTGAATCTTTCCTTCATTTTGTCACTATTGCAATTTATGCAACAGGATATTAGCGACCGAGTGGAAAAAGATCATTCCGACAGTCCGGCTTTAATAGCATTGGAAACTTATGGTGAGCGTGTAACGGGAGACGATTGGAGATTGTATATAGATTTCGAAGTTGCAACAGATTTGCGCAAATATAGGAGTTATCGAGGCGAGAGCGTAAGAGATCTACTCAGGGCTCTACGGAACAAGGTTAGTGAGAACGCTAGTATCTGAAGACATGGTAGTCTCGGCGCTAAGGTCCAATGTCCACGATGCTAGAAATCGGTCCGAGTTCTCAGATCAAGAAATGTGTAGCCAATCAGCTTACAGTTTCTACGGAAAACCAGCAAGTTGATTGGCTACACATTTCTTGATCCGAGAACTCGGACCGAGTTTTAGCATTGTGGACATTGGGCTTAAGACAAGCGCAGCGTCATCGCGCGAGACACTGCCGTGCTCCTTTACGCAATAGATATAACAAGACTATAACACAAACGTTCCGTGTTATCATGTGTTTAGTTATATTAATGTTAAAGGGGGGAGCCATAAATTACTATCTTTTACTTTTTTGCTTTCTTTTTTTTCAATGTTTAGTTTAAATTCGCTGAAATTCTGGTATATTATACATATATGCAGAATAATAATCAGAATGTTATTAAAATTATTAATTTTTTTCAAATATGATAAAGAACGCCATGAACGGTCAAAGTTAGATGTTTCGTATAATACATTATATATTCTTTGAAACGTCTAACTTTGACTGTTCATGGCGTTCTTTATCGTATTTGATGTATTCATACATACGGTCGTGCTTAAAATTCTTATAATTATTAATTTTTATTATTTATGAGAAGAAATTACGAAATTTATAGGATTTTATATATACAGGGTGTTTTAAAAAAACGGATCGAAACACAATGGGGACGTAGATTGGATCAAGGGGAACAAAATAGTTTTGTACCATTTTGCATTTTGCAGTTGACGCAATATTTAACGAGATATTAACGTTTAAAGATAGGCGAATACAAACGTCCGATCAGCCCACTCATGTACTGCTGCCGGCAGGACGGCCTACCGTCCCCACCGATCGCATGACGCGCCGGCCGAGC